ATGTTCCAAGCACTACACCAAAAAGCATAGAGTTGGCGTCTCCGCCCCTAAAACTTACTTTTGCACATTTATCTAGTGCTAATTCCATTTTGTTTTCAGTTACCCACTGCTGAATTTTGTCCAGATCTTCTTGAATTTCAATTGATGTTTTTTTGATGGAAAGTAGTTTAAGATCATCCGCAAAAATATATGGTTCAGAGAATTTGAGTACTTCAGGTAGGTCGTTAATAAAAATGCAAAAGAGCAGTGGTCCTAAAAGTGATCCTTGGGGAACACCACTAGTGACTTCTAAAACTTTTGAGCTGATATTGTCTACTCGTACAAACTGTTTCCTGTTTTTCAAATAGTCATAGAGTACCTCTAACATGCAGCCTCCTATTCCTATAAGTGCAACTTTCTTGAGTAGATCAAAATGCGGAACTTTATCAAAGGCTTTTGCAAAGTCAGTGTAGACTGCTACAATTTCTGCGTTTGAGTCATTGTCAAGCGCTTCATATATTTCTTTCAGGAAGGAGAGCATGTTTGTCAAAACTGATCTACCTTTAGTAAAACCGTGTTGATGTTTCGTCAAATACCAGGCAAAGTAAGGGTACAGGTCTTTGTATATACATTTTTCAAGGACTTTGCTGTCAATATTTAATAGCGATACTGGTCGATAGTTGTTCACCAATTTTCGGTCACGTTTTTTGTGAACAGGAGTAACTGCAGCTGTTTTCCATGAATCAGGTATTTTTCGTAGGCGTTTTACGTTTCTCAAAATTTTGTTCATCGGTTTGCATATATTGCGGTTCGTTTTCTGAAAAAAGCTAGGTGGCAACCCATTTGGGCCGCGTGACTTTGTTACGTCCAGAGTTGATAAAATCTCACTTACTGTCTTTTTCGATATATCAAAATTCGTTAACAAGGGATTTCCAAATTGAATATCTCTAATACTAAAACTTTCTTTAGGATTAAAAACTGAATGAAAGAAGTCGTTTAGCATGTTGACTTGTTCGTTTGGATTTGTGCTTTCAACTTCATCTTTTATGAGTAACTTAGGAAGACTTGTATGTTTATTCAAGTTCTTTAGGTGTTTAAAAATTACATTAGTGTTCCGTGTTCTAAACAATTCCTCTTGGTAGTTTTTCCTGTCCACTTCCGATGATTCAGTTACTAAATTTTCAAACAGTTTAACTTGTTGTCTTCTGTAGTTGGTCGGTTTGAGTATACATGATTGCCGTTTTGTTTGTAACTTTTTGATCAAATTTGAAGTGCTACTTGTTATCCAAGGTGGAAGTGATTGCCTATGTCTTGTTCTGAGAGGCACAAAACTCTTAATGATTTCATCCAAATATTGGGTGTACTCCTCATGCATTTTGTTAATGTTTGTGTGGCATACTGGTTCAAATGGGTTCTCGTTTATAAAATTGTTTATTCCTTCAAAATCGGCATTTCCAAAACTTCTAAAATTTTCCAAGTATGGTTTCGGCTCTGATACCGTGCATTCAATAGACAACATTATGGCATTGTGATCTGAGCAGTCATAAATCTTGGAAACGTTAAAATCTTGTTCGGCACTTGTATAGCAATTCCGATAGAAGGCTACGTCTAGTATGTTCTTCACACATGTTGGGAAATCTATCGCCTGCCTAAAGAGTCCATTTTCAAAAATTTGCAGTATTTGGTTTTCTTCCTCGTCAGTACTGGTGAGGGTGTTCCAGTTTGTTTCTGGGAAATTTAAATCCCCACATAAGAGAAACGGTTTGTTTTTAGGAATGGCTTTGATCAGTTGTTCAAATTCATGCACTTTGTATCTGTAATTACTGTTTTTTGGCGGATTGTAGAATGAGCCAATTATCATTTCAGTTTGATGAAGTTTTATACTACATAGCACACATGAATCAGGAATGTCATGTTTGGTGGATAAGTCCTCGGTAATTAGACTATTCTTGACAGCTATTAGGCTGCCTCCGTGACAGTTTTTACCACTCACAATAGCTCTATCAGATCTATAGATGTTATATTCACTTAGAAAAAGCTCTGATGATTGAATATTCTCGTTAAGCCAAGTTTCGCTTAAGCATATGACATTAAAATTTCCAACTGCAATTGCATTTGCTAGCTTAGTTCTTCTCTCTATGTTGATTAGGCTTCTAGTATTTAGTTGCAGAATGTTGAGGAATCCTAGTCAATGCTGGGGTTCCTGAACTTCAGTGTCAATAGTTACTTTCACACCATCATTGAACAATTCTAGATTCCTTATTTTCAGCTTTTCGCGAGGAACGCCTTCATCTAGTAGTTGTCTTCGTTTCTTAAGGATTTCGTTCTCTTTAATTGCACTCTCTTTGGTCAATGCTGGTAGCAGGTAGACCTCTTTTTCGACCAATTGTTCTCGCTTTTCTCGGCTTTTTGCTAGTACTAGTCGTGCTTCATGTTCGCTAGGTACAGTTACCAGCAGTGTTCTTGGCTTCATTCGATTACGATCAAATTTTCCCAGTCGTTTTAGTTCTATTATTTTCGGCTTCACTCCAATTATGTCTAGTATTTCGTTTACTTCGTCATTTGTTGGGACAAGGTTTTCTCCTTTTGTTTTCTCAGGGTCCTCTTTGACTCCTTGTATCCTAAAACTTTGATTTATGTTGTGATCAGAGTTAGATCTGGCAGCATGTTGAGTGGTTTGAGCTTGATTTATCCGGGTGGTGGTTTCAGCAGCTACAACGGCACTATAAGTTTTTTCCACTTTATCGCATGTCGTTTTCATTGCATTTCCAATTTTTTGATCTACTAAATCGGTAAGTCTTCTTTCCATGCTTTTAAGGCTTTCAGTTACATCAATGTTTGAGAGCTTCTCGTCTATGTTGGCCAGGGTTTTGCATCTTATAAAGTTGTCTCGTTCATTATTTTGCACACAAGTATTACAAATAACACCCAGGAGCGCCATAAAAACATACATGTAACATTCGCCCGGAAGATACATATCGACGGATAAAAAAACTAAGTCTTAAGACGACTGGCTAGCGTCTAAACAGAGCTTTGCATGTTTTTCACCGTCTCTACCAAGCCAGTACTTTTCGGTGGTCTTTTCTAACATCGGGTCGACAAAAACGTTACTGTTCTCCGGCTTCGACCAGAACGCTCAAACTAACTGAATTACATGCAAAAATAGTGAGCTCATGGCTGGGTCTCAGTATCCCCAGACCACGAGGTCACTCCTAAAAACAGGGCTACTACTTATAATATTACTATTGTTTTTGTTCAGTAGATAAAAATCATCATCTCCGTCGAAGATGGATCAACCCTTTCCCCCAACTCCTAGCACCTCATCCTTGTCAAAACTAATCCAAATATCAATTAAATTCAAGTCAGGACATGACAGGATGCTAAAAGTTCATATGAGTCAATAAAAGTTTTCCGCCCCGAGACCCTTCCGGATTCTTGAATCCGCTGAATCAAGCCCGTTGATCTTGATTTCTTCCTAATCCGGAAGGCTGGTTTCTTACCCTTCACCGTTGTTTGCAACGGCCTTGCAACTATTGTAGCAGCACAATAGTTGCAACTCGGAACGTTCTCTGCAATCTGCTGCTGTTTTTCAATCACGATTCTCGTTGTTCTCGTCAGCGCAACTAACGTTGTTGTTGTTCTCTCGTTTTTTGTTAAAATGGCCGTTTCAGCATTTCTCAGAAATGTGACGTCATCATTCGAATTTTTGAAATTTTAAAATACTAGAATATTCCAGCCTTCACCGTTTGGCTAAACGTTCCAATAACATCCTTAGTTCATAAAAACCACCAACCCGGAAGGCTTACTGCTAAAATTCCGAATTCTGCAGAGATTGCATTTTTCACATTCTGGTCGAATGTCACATATTCGTCCTGGGTAGCTTTCTTTTTCGCTGCTTTCAGTTTTTTCTTTTATCCGGTCATTCTTTTTGATTTTTTTCAAACTTGTAAGAGTCGCCTACTTCAGTCACATATGAGGCTTAAGAAAAATAGGCCCTATAACCATTGGCTCAAGAGTCAGGGACACTATCTCTTGTGTTTTTCTACCTCAAAACGGTCGGAGCCAATTCGGTTCGCTTGCTACATGAGGCTAGAACCCGTTACAGCTTAAAGGCCACTACCAAATTATCCTCCCACTCTAGAAAATCAGAACGTCCCCATACTTAGGTCTCGAGATACCCAAAATACACGAACGCCGTTAAAAACAGGGTCGGAACAATCCGTTAAGTTACTTTTTATTAGACAGTGGAACTTTGATCCATTTCAGATGGATCAACCTAAAACTCGCCTTACCTCAACATAACAATCATAAAACACACTCGAGAAAATTAAATTAGGTACTTACATAGCAGCACACTCGAGAACTAGAGGTAACTAAATTAGCAAGCAACTTGAGAATGATCAGGGAATTAAGTTTAATTCAATAAGTTCTAATCGAACAAGTTTTATCTCAAGAATGGAGTTTTGGTTCTGGACCACTGGGACACTTCGGTTGTCCACCTTTCCACCGAAGGCTCACTCTGGTTCAGCTAGATTCCGATCTTCTTTTGTAATCACTGTCTCCTATTTCAAGATAGGACAGCTCTACTCTCGTGGTTTATATTATTTTCTTGGAAATTGCGAATAGCAATTTCCCGTTGTTTTTTTTGTCACTTTCCCGCAATTGTAAATTCGGTCGTTCTCCCTTTTTATTTTTTTATTTTCAGTTGTCACGAGAAAACTGAGCATGACAGGCTCCATTCGAATTTTTGAAAAATAAAACTTCATTCCAAAACAACGTATTTTCGTGTTCCTCAAGGTCAAACTTCCAGATATGAGCGACTGGCACAACTTCAGTTCTTTCTGTGCGGGTGTTAGTTCGACTTGATTTCCAACCATCTGACTCTCTTTAGTTTCCTTTGCTTCTCCCTTATTTCCGAAATTCTGAGTTAAATGATGAAGGAGTAGTTTAGTAATTTCGGTTACCATGATAATTTCTGAACTTTTGGTTCACACAAAATGTATGATATTTACAACAATTTCAGGGGGAATGAAGCGGCATTCAATTGCTTATCTACTAGCCAATCGCAGCACCATACCGTTGAGTTTGTATACAACAATCAATAAGAACTCGTGTCGCTATTGTGCCAATTCGTCCAGTTTGAAATCAACAACCGAGGAAGCAATCTCAGACTCTGACAAAGGTGCGAAGTCAAGCGATGAAAAACTAAAAGGTAAATTGAAGTTTTTTTATCCGCTTTCTTTTTTGAAACCGTTTAAACATCTTTCCAGTTGCGCGCTTATTTATTCGTCATTCGATCTACAAAGTAGCCCAAAATACTTGATTTATGGGTACGTAGCACTATTTGGACACTTGCGTATTCATACTCGTCAGTAAGCAGAAAAATGCCATATTAACCTAATCAGAACTGAAACAAGGAAGAAATTAATAAATATTTATTTCGTAAGTTCGCTTTCTCATCTCGGTTCTGATTAGTTAATATTGGTTATACTCATAGAGTAATTTCAGATAAGGTACACCGTCTGCTCGTCACGCTATCTTATTTGCGGCCGGATAGATTCGTGCAACTTCTTAGTCTAATACCAATCTTAATCTTACTCTTTTATCTCCTAGTCTCAATAGATCTAGTGTACACCGGTTTATGCGAGTTAGTTCCAGAATGAGAACAACTGTATTCTAAGCTTAATTCAAATTGCTTACAAGTAGTTTCAGCTTTTACAAATAAGGGGGTTGTAAGTTTGATGGAGTTTGATTGGTTAGTATTCAATATTTTGATGATTGGTTAGTATTCAATATCCAAAAATAAATTCTAGTTTAGATCTGGTTCCACCCATCCGGGGTTTACAGAGTTTTAGTTCTTCGGTGTTCTACTGTAGTGGAGGATGGATGATGGTGTCTTTCTTAAGAAGTTTCGAGTTTATTCTTTTTTCTGATTAGGAAGAAGGATTGTTATCACGATCGTTTCGGGAGATCGTATCATGAATTCTGATCGGTTGTGATGAGTGTTGATTTAGTATTAGAGAATAGCAACGCTCCAATCTCGTTCGGACGTGGCATGTAGTTTGACTTTGGATGGAGTGCCTGATGACTTGGATCTGTACGGGTTTCCTTTGTTGCGATGCCAAGTCGTACTTTAAATCCTTTGAGTGTAGTGACTGTAGGTAGCATGTCGGGTGTGTTTTGCCATTCCGTAAATGGAGTGTGATTGGGTTGTCAAGTTCCTTGCTGCTCGTCTTTGGGCTGTATGTAATCTATATACTGCATTGTAATATTTACATATACAAATCTTTGTTAATTTTGTTTTTAGTTATGATCTTATCACGTTAATTTTTACGTTAATTTTTATCGCAAAAGCGTTCTTGTTTAGTTGGGTTATTTTTAAGAGCTACTAACCCTTGAGTAACTCTCGTCAAAAATTGAGTGTGCGTCACAAAGCGTAGATGTAGCACGGTGGGTTAAGCCGGCTATAGAGCATGCTCAGGACGTCCTCTCTGGTGGGTTAGGCCAGGAGTATAAATTCATGCTCTTTTTTGGAGGGTCCTGTTTGTGTTCAATCTTTCGTGCCTTTTTTATTACTGGTTTTTTCCTTTTTTGTCTTGGTTGTGTCCTTTTCTCAAAAGTTCAAATCGTTTCTTTTGGATTTGTCTTTCGACTTTTTTGTGTTTTGTTCTTTTGTGTTCAGACTTGAAAGTAGTCTTCAAAAGAATAGTTTATCCAGTTCTAAGCTGTGTTAATCCGGTTTGGGTACCGTGGGTTTTCTTTCCTTAGTCATGCTGTTAGGTTGTGGTTTGTGGTGTTTAGTAAGCTGCGTTGGTTAGTTTGGATTAATCTATAATTCCTTTCCAACCGGGTTAAAGGAAAGTTTGAAATAAGTTAAAACTGGTTAGAGTTGTTATCGGTGAAAGTTAAAAACTAAATTTATTATTTTAAACAATTCTTCGTGGGCGAGCTGTGTGATTATATTGTGGATAGGATTGTGGGCGAGTGAATGTATTTGAACTATAAAGAAGCGTCTTTGAAAAGGTTAGCACTACTTTAATTTTATAGGCAACTTTTATTAATTTACTACTTTACGGCTTTATTATTTTATTATTAAAATTATTATTTTTACGGCTTTATTTGGGGGGTTGAAATTATCAATTTATTTTCATTTTAAGAATGTTTACTGCATATGGGAAATGAGTTTATACACCATTTTTTTGCTGTTTTGAGTGTAAGTTTTACTGCCTCATTTATCGTAATTGGTTAACATAAATATATGATTCTAGAAAAAAGTTTTCTGTTTTCATTTCGTTTTTCTTTTTTGTAGATGGTTGATGATCATGTCTGTGAAGACTAAAGAAAAAGAGAGAACTTTTATAAAGAATGGTTAGTTTTTCTAATTTGCTAGAATAATTTATTTAATTCATATTACCTTATTCGTCTGTGAAGAATCCGTGGGGAAAAACGTCATGGATGATATCTGATGATGTTAGTAATTTAGCTATCAAACGAATGATGTTTTTAGTTTGGAGAAGTGGCCAAACCAATTGGAGTGCTTTAATGATTTTGTGCTCTTCAGTGCTGGGTGAGAGTTCATAAGGTGTATTTTGAATGAGGTTATAAAGTTTTTGATTATATCTGGTGTTATGGATGAATTCCAGGATCGGGATCTCAACGGTCTGTAGGAATTCGTGTGGGAAGATTAGTGGGCGGGATTCGTCTACGTTGAAGGTTTTGGTTAAGGGACAGAATATATACATCTGGGTGATGGGATCATAATTGCGGAGGATGCCTTGTAGGTTAGTATCTTTAATACAATAAGTTAAGAAAGAATGGTGAGGTATATTTAGATTAATGTATTGATATCTGTGGTGAATTTGTCGTGCTGGTGTATTATGAGTGTAATGGTAATGGATGAACTTATAGTAAGTAAAAGTGTGTGTCTGTTTAGTTCGTAACATGATGTCGTGTGAACAGTTCAAATCACGTTCTTTGGGTGTGAGGAAATGAAAAGTTAGTGAGAAGTTGTTAAATTTGTTAAAATATGAATCATAGGCTTGAATATCACGAAGTGCTGCTGAAATTTCGTGGTCGTTTTTTTAATCTAAAGTAATGAGGGTGAAAACTAATGGTGTTTTAATGAAGAATTTTTCTGTTAGTTGTGGGTTAGCAAATTTATCGTCGTTCAGAAAGGTGTCTTCGTTTGGTCTTTGGATGTGATGGTCGTAGTGATTGATGGGATATTCGTTAGTTTTGGGTGCGGCGAATTTGATAAGTGACTGTTTATATCCGATTTGTGTAAATTGTTTTGGAGTGAGTGCTGTTGTTAAAAGGTTGAGTTGAATGCTGCATTGTTCTTTATCATATGTGGTGTTATATAATGGGTGTTACTTAATGGTAGTGATAGTGGATTAGTGAAGTGATAAAATGATGTCCATGAAAGTGTTGGGTATAATACGTGCTCTTTATCATAATTAGGGTGTTCGTCATTTGGGTCTGAATGAAAGTAGGTGTATTGTGGGAAAAAGGGTAAACATATTTGAAGATAATCTTTAGTGTTAGTGTGGAGTGGGTGATTAACAAATGTTGGCTGTTCCCGGGTGAGAGGGAAATGGAGTATTGGGGAATTTTCTTTTGAAGGTTCGATAGGCTCGGTTTGTACTAGATGAGGATGGATTTGACGAGGGAGTTGGGTTTGGTGAAGGGGTGTAATTTGAAGAGGGAGTTGGGGTTGATGGGTTTGATGATATTATGGATTGTGAGAGTTGGTGAATGGTTAGTGTCTGAGGGTGCTGTAATTGTTGTTGAAATGTGATGAAATTGTCAAGTTCATTGGATATTTGTGTATTTACAGAGCTGTTGTTGTCTGAAGGTTCACTGGTCAAGGGCGATTATATGGGTTTTACATTGGAAATAGAAGAGTGAGTGGAAGCAGGTTCAAATCTTCTTTGAGAGTACAGAGGTTGAAAAGGAGGTTGGGAAAATGTAGATGGCTGGGTTCAAAGTTGTCAAATTCGTCAGGGGTTTCGAGATCTGAGTTATTAAATTGGGAAATAGTATTATATACAGTGGTGTTTGAATTAGTATCTGAATCCATGCCGGATGAAGTGTTATCATGAGGCGATTGAGGTGGGGAGAAAGCAAAAAGTGGGATAATTCGGAGGTTGCTTTGAAGGTTGGTTGGGTAGGAAATTGAGCGATGGAATGATCCAACTTGGCGGCTCATCGTGGGCTAAAAAGATAGTTGTTCTGAGAACGAAAGTTAGTGGTATGTGGTTGTTCTATAATTTGCTCGTATGTGTCTTCTATTTTAAATTGTTGGGTTATTATGTGTTGAATTGGGCTTTGTAGGTAATTAGGTCTTGAAGATTTGAGGTCTGTCAGGGCTATGTTTCTGAAATTTCGTGGTACTTATGATAAAGGATGGTTATGGTTTAGGCTTTGTAATTGTTGTGCCTCAGGCGTTGTATTTTTATGGTTTCATGAATCGTCATATATGCTCGGTGTTAATTTTATTAATTGATGTAGAGAATATTCCAAAAAATCCTGCAAAAAGTATGCGTGCTAAGCTTGCTTGTTTGTTTACTTGTGTGTGTATTGCGCATGTATTGAAGATTCCTTTTATTTAGTAGAGAGAAAAGAAATCCAAGAAAGTTAAACATTGCGTATAATATAGTCATTTTTTCTAAGATGTAGTAGGGCCATCCTAGAAAGGCAAGAAGTTCGTTTTTCAAATTTACAAAAGTGAAAATATTTATTGGTGATATATAGGTGTAGGGTATGGTGTAAGAAGGTAGTTTTTATCTTCGTCAGGATTTAATTGTATTACCTTGTGTCTGTTTTCTGACCCACATGGGACTGATGTATCCCAAAAATAAGTTCTTCGGCAAAGTGTATCAACAAAATATACTTTATTTTTATAGAAAATAGGGATTCTTTTATAGCATATTTTATCTTCAAAAACATATAAAGGTGATGTTTTTTTGGTACAAGTGTAATACCATAGTATGTTTCCTATCTGGTTCCACCCATCCGGGGTCTACAGAGTTTTAGTTCTTCGGTGTTCTACTGTAGTGGAGGATGGATGATGGTGTCTTTCTTAAGAAGTTTCGAGTATATTCTTTTTTCTGATTAGGAAGAAGGATTGTTATCACGATCGTTTCGGGAGATCGTATCATGAATTCTGATCGGTTGTGATGAGTGTTGATTTAGTATTAGAGAATAGCAACG